TCTCTCTCTCTCTCTCTCTCTCTCTCTCTCTCTCTCTCTACCCCTTAACCCCTCGCTCGCCCTCCCTCCTCTCCCCCTCTCTTTCTCGGCCTATCTCACCATCAGTGAACTGACATTTCAATGTGCATCTGGAAGCCATATCTGCTTGGATGACATGCTGGTATGACTGAAATCTGTCAACGGCACACACACGCGCGCACGCATGCACACACGCGCACACGAGAAGGCGCACGAGCGCAGGCACGAACACACCCACGCACACGCGCACGCACGCACACACACATAGCCATGCACACACACACAGCAGAAACGTGTGCTTTGTATACAGCGGATTGGAATGTAAGACTTAAGTCTGTTTTAGAAGTGTGTTTTATGTTAACACATGTAGTCATCCCCCACCCGCCACGTGCAAACTAGGGATATATCGTGATCCACTACCGCCAACTATTTGTTCTGCATTTTAACTAATTCGTAAATTATTCGCTTTTTCCTTTTGATATGTGGCCTAATTATACTACCACCTTGGAGGATTTTGTTAAAATTTGTTTGGTCTCGTTTCCATGGTTGTTGTTGTCATGGCAATTAACTCTTCGCCTTCGTTCCTTGGTAGAATTCTCCCGCGCAAAGTAAGGGCGAGGAGCAGAAGAAGCGGAAGACTAACACGACGACGATACCTAGGGTAAGGTACATCCTAATCACTGTATACATAGCCAAGAGACGGAAATAATTTATTTAACAGTAAAACAGCTCGAGCATTGCCGAGCAGCGCGAATTGTTTGTAGTTATAGCTAGCGTGGTATTCGAATTTCATTGTACGGCGTGACGGTGACTCAAAGCGTCGAAAGGAGACATGTATGATATAGTCAAGAGTGCATAATAGAGATCTCATTATGCTCTAATTAATCTCTATTTGTCTCTAATTAAGCTCTAATTAATCTCTATTTGTCTCTAATTAAGCTCTAATTAATCTCTATTATTAATCTCTATTATGCACTCTTGATATAGTATTAAGCCTAAGCGATGAGAAAGGCGAGACGCCTAGCCGCTTCTGAAGTATGACCTCGAACGTGGCCAATAGGGTAAGCTGAAATTAGCGTCCCTGCCAACAGACGCATACTACGGTACAAACTCACCATAGTGCGTAATGAAGATATTTAATTAAAGGTGACGAACGAGCTAAAACATGGGTACGTCCGATTTCGTCACGCGTCGCGTCATTTTTGAGTCACGGTTGCTAGCCGATACCATTTGGTCGATACCACGACATAGCGAAACCACGAATTCAAATTTTTAATAAACGAAGAATTGGCTATGGATCTGTGTTTACGATATAGCTTAGCCGGTGATATCTGTATTTTATGTTTCGTCGTTTGTTTGTTTGTTTTCATTTGATTAACAGATAACTAACGTGTGGTACGCGGTAAGATGGTATCTTGTTTCGCCATCCTTCCGTAGCCTTACCATGCCGACTCAAGTTGAGTTACCGTTGCAGACTGTCGACCCCCTCCGGTGATACGAAAATGAGCGCTCATTTTCACTAGACAGCTGCAGCAATATCCCCCTCAGTTCGTTTCAAACCCGGACTTTTCATCCCTTCTCGGACCCCAAGGATTTACCATCACCATCAAGCGTAAACGCGATCGGTATCTTGAAAACCGCCACACATGCGAGCACGGTATACGCATGTTCAGCCCATCATATCAGCATATGATTGCAGTGGGGCTGACTATTTTGTTTTGTATCACTGTTCCTTGCATTATTGTCCTAATGCACTGTATAAACAATTTATGAACCCAGTTTATTCTATGTATATTCTTTTAACTATTATATAGTTTTTAATTAGAAATACGTTTTCATGAGGACATGAACTTTTTAAGAGGGGCCAAGGTAATTATTGTATTCAGCAAACGGTGACGATAGAATGCGACGCTTGGCACGTCACACCTTGCACCGGGGATAGGTGACGCGACGCGCCACACCTACGAGCCAAGGTCCGGTCGTTATTCAAAGAACTTTTTTGAAGAACACATACGATTTTCAGGTAAACTGATGGTGCCATATGATTAAGGAAGAATCCGAGACGAAAACAAGGTAAAGTTTGAATATATTTATTCACATATTGATAGAATAAATTCAAGTTAAAAACTACGCAAAATGCTGTTAAAACAGTGTCATACTCTTCTCCTATTATCTACTCTTGATATATATATATATATATATATATACATACATACATTTTATAACGTAATACTGTAATTCCTAACAGGAAGCCACCCCGTCGGGAGGCAGGGGGTATCGCCGTGACGACGCACGCACCTGGCACTTGTACTGACGATCGTTCTGGTGGATCTTCTCGTGTCGCTTCATGTTCGACTTGAGAGAGAACTCGCGGCCGCACACCCTGCACTTGTGCGGCTTTTCTCCCGTGTGTGTCAGCTGATGATTCTTCAGGTGCGCTTCCTACAATGCAGACGTATAAAATTATAACAAATATAATAAATATATAATACAATGCAGACGTATAGATTATTTATTGTATCTCGTGCATCAGCTGGCAGTTTTTCAGGTGCGCTTCCTACAATGCAGACGTATAAAAATATAACAAATATAATAAATATATAATACAATGCAGACGTATCAATTATTTATTGTATCTCGTGCATCAGCTGGCAGTTTTTCAGGTGCGCTTCCTA